GGTATCCCCGGAAGATCTTAAGGACCGCGTGGGCTCGTAAGGGAGGAGGCGGTCACGCAGATAGGCAGATCCTGTCCCGCCTGGATGTTTTGATGTGTTACCATCCTTGTGGGAGGCTTCTCTTATGTCTCCCTATGAGGAGCTGGAGCCGATAGAGGGAGCTCATCCACCCTTTCCCCAGATTCGAACCTGCGACCTGTTGTCTTCAGTCATGCCGGTACAGGGGTTTAACCCACTGCACCATCGGGGTCTCCAGAATTGGAATTGGAATTGGCGCTGTTTGCACTGAAGTCTGACCAGATTTGCATTGAAGATGCCAGTTCTTGACTCCAACGTAGGATGGGGAATCCTCACCATCAACCTCTTCCATCTCATTGAACGTCTCCTTTGATGTGCAGCCTTGCAAGGAAAGGAACTACTCTGGATTCCACTGGGTCCATTCTCAAACCACTTCAGCACCTGTAGTAAAATCCAGACCGTTCTCAGTTCAGAGTTGCAAATTGGTACCTAACCTAGAGAGACGTGTATCATGACACGTGTGCAGTTTCAGCGTCCTGTGACAAAGAGAAGTGGGTCAGGGGACCTCTTGAATGAACGCCCCTCCTGGCGGACTACTCTGGATTCCACTGGGTCTATCCTCAAACCATTTCAGCACCTGTAGTAAAATCCAGACCGTTCTCAGTTCAGAGTTGCAAATTGGCACGTCACCTAGAGAGATGTGTATCATGACACATGTGCAGTTTCAGCGTCCTGTGATAAAGAGAAGTGGGTCAGGGGACATCTTGAATGAGCGCCCCTCATACGTCTCTGTTTTCATGATATTGTCCCCCTCCTCAATCCGCAGAGAGACAAGTAATACAGTTGTTGTTATTATTATTTGTTTGTTCTAGGCCTGGTCAATCCATGGTTCTAAATGGTTCTAAAGTACTTACAAAACTAAAGTTCTGGTGGTGAAAATTTCAGAACTCTAACAAAACTCTCAAAACTCCATTATAAATGGCAGTTCCTAATTGGTTCTATCATAAAAATCACCAATAATGAAATAATAATTAAATTTCGAAAGTTTTGTTAGAGTTCTGAAATTTTCACCACCAGAACTTTAGTTTTGTAAGTACTTTAGAACCATTTAGAACCATGGATTGCCCAGGCCTATTGTTTACATGTCGGATTTAGTGATAAGATGCCATTTTTTTAGAAACCTGCACACTTTGCATTGAGATACAAGGCTGGTGGGTAACATGTCCTTCCAACTTTCCCCAACCTCAGAGCCACAAGGGCTATTGAGTTGCAATGCCCATTATCCCCATGATGCAAAGTGATGGGAGCTGTTGTCCAGGGGACCCAAACTGGGTGAAAACAAAACGGCATGGACCACTATGTAAAAAAAATTACAGTTGGCCCTCTGTGTCCAGGGTTTCTGCGTCCATGGATTCGAAAGTGGATGTGGGCTCCGTGGACGTGAGTTTGGACACCCCGATCTGCGGTCAGAGCATGAAGCGAGCGGTCCGCCTCGAGCGATCTCAGCACCGTGAGCCACTCCTGAGCCCGGCCCTCCCTTCCGCCTCTCTTCCCTTTCCATATCTCTGTCCTTCCTTCCCTTCCAAGACTTAACTCTCACCCATTGACTTGCCTGCAAGAGCAGGGGAACGCCGCTGCCTTGGGAAAACACACGGAAGGGCCCGATCGGTCGCTTCGGACGGCCCTCGGTCTGTTTTCGGCGCGGCCTCCTCCCATTAACGTCCCTCCGGAAGCACCGGGGAAGGAGTCCAGCATTGCGTTTTTCGGTTTAATCAATGCACTTGAACAAAAACCAAATCTGCAACGCTCAGACGTTGGACTTTCCTCGGCCGCTTCGCCGTTGCCCGGTCTGTGGCGCGTTCCCCTCGCAAGGCGGGTCACGGCGTTTCGGTCATGCGGCCTTGCAAGGGGAATGTCCTTGCAGCCGGTCAATCTCGAATGGTTGGGTTTCCCCCCTCCTCTCCTAACTTGCGTCTTGTGCCATGCATGGTGTCCAAAGAGGAGAAGATGCGCTGTTTTGTTCCTTCCCAAACGGCGCAAATTGCAGAGTGCTGGGGAGAAGGCAAACTTTTAACAGCAACTAAACCCACAGCGCCCTTTTCTCATGTGTGCTTGAGACAACCACCCGGGCCGCTAATCTCATTTCGGACTTTGCAGCATTTATTGGTCCTGCAGGCGGGAGTTGCGGCCCAAACACCACAAATACCTGCTGCAAAGTTCATCGGGAGCAGACCATCACAGTGCGGCGCTTTGGGGATTGATTTGGGGATTGATTTGGCCAGAGTCGGAGCATAATGGGACGCTGGACACCTTTGAGGTTGACGCTCTCTTTGTGTCCAGATCATTCTTGTTCCTGTTTGGGTATTGATTTGGCCAGAGGCAAGGCAGAATGGGACTCGGGACACCTTTGAGGTTGACGCTCTCATTGTGTCCAGATCGTTCTTGTTCCTGTTTACCTTTGTCTTTTGCACAGACAACAAATTGGATAATCCCTCCTCAGTCAACTATATAAATAATAATGCAATGTTTGTTTAGAGTTAACATAACTCAAAAACCACTCGGAAAATTGACACCAAATTTGGACACAAGACACCTAACAACCCATTTTTTTGGGGGAGGGGGGGGGGGGGGACACAAGACACCTAACAACCCAATGTATGTCCTTCACTCAAATAAATGGATTTTGTCATTTGGAAGTTGTAGTTGCTAGGATTTATAGTTTACTTACAATCATAGAGCATTCTGAAGTCCACCAATGATGGAATTGAACCAAATGTGGCATACAAAACTTCCATGACCAACAGAAAACACTAGACATTGATCTTGGGCATTGAGCTTGAGTTTGGGAGTTGTAGTCCATCTACATCCAGAGAGCACTGTGGACTCAAACAATGATGGATCTGGACCAAACTTGGCACGAATATTCCATATTCCACAAAACTTCCATGACCAACAGAAAACACTAGACATTGATCTTGGGCATTGAGCTTGAGTTTGGGAGTTGTAGTTCATCTACATCCAGAGAGCACTGTGGACTTAAACAATGATGGATCTGGACCAAACTTGGCACGAATATTCAATATGACTCCAATGACCAACAGAAAACACTAGAAGGGTTTGGTGGGCATTGAGCTTGAGTTTGGGAGTTGTAGTTCATCTACATCCAGAGAGCACTGTGGACTCAAACAATGATGGATCTGGACCAAACTTGGCACGAATATTCCATATTCCACAAAACTTCCATGACCAACAGAAAACACTAGACATTGATCTTGGGCATTGAGCTTGAGTTTGGGAGTTGTAGTCCATCTACATCCAGAGAGCACTGTGGACTCAAACAATGATGGATCTGGACCAAACTTGGCACGAATATTCCATATTCCACAAAACTTCCATGACCAACAGAAAACACTAGACATTGATCTTGGGCATTGAGCTTGAGTTTGGGAGTTGTAGTCCATCTACATCCAGAGAGCACTGTGGACTCAAACAATGATGGATCTGGACCAAACTTGGCACGAATATTCCATATATCCAAATATGAACACAGATGGAGTTTGGGGGAAATAGACCTTGACAATTGGGAGTTGCAGTTGCTGGGATTTATAGTTCACCTACAATCAAAGAGCATTCTGAACCCCACCAACAACAGAATTGGGGCAAACTTCCCACACAGAGCCCCCATGATCAAAGGAAAATACATCCAGCCCAACTCCCTTCACCAAGGCAAGAAAACGTAATCAAAGCCCACCCAATTTGGACACAAGACACCTATCAGGCCATTGAGTGACCATCGCTCAGAAAAACACTGAAAAACGCAGTGGAAGAGACTTAAAAAGCAAAAAAAACAAAAACCCAAAATTACATGACAACGCATGTGCAAAACCACATATATATAAACAAAATCTGGCTACCAGTATTTAAAATCACAACAGGAAAACAACAGAGGGAATACAATCAGGGACATCTAATCACTTCTCAACAAAAGATTGCCCCAGGCACTGCCAGACCATCAAATGCCAATCAAGGTGGTCAGTTGAGACATTTCCACCTAGCTCCAGCAGACAAGAGTCCTTTGTCCCACCCTGGACATTATTCCACAGATATATAAACCTTTTTTCCTAGTTCCAGCAGACCTCACTACCTCTGAGGATGCTTGCCATAGATGCAGGCGAAACGTCAGGAGAGAATGCCTCTAGAACATGGCCATATAGCCCGAAAAAACCTACAACAACCCAGTGATTCCGGCCACGAAAGCCTTTGACAATAGAGGGCCCAAAATGTTGGTAGGTGTGCAGGTGAGCTATTCTTCTTCCTATTTGTTTTGGGCAACAAGACTTAAATTATTCCAAAAAGCAAAAACAAAACAGGGAGTTCAGTAGAGCGCAAACCTCAACGGTGTCCGTCTCCGTCCCGCCAATCCCCTCCGGGAATAATCCCGCTTCCTCCCGCGGTTTTGTCATTCCGGATTCACTTTCCTTACCGGGATTTCCTTTGTCCAAACCATGTGGAAGCCTTCCTCTTTTTGCAACTTGCTAATTTGTTGATTTCCTTATTATTATTATTATTATTATTATTATTATTATTATTATTATTTATTTGGTCTCCGTTCCAAAACTCTGGCAGGGAAGAGGCAGAAGAAGGAAAAAAGCCCCGCACTTTGCATGGTCTGCTCCCAACACATGTTATGATGTTGTTGTTGTTGTTGTTGTTTTTAATAAAAGACATTAATAAGATCCCAGACTGACTGCAGCTGTTTGGCATTGATTGAGTCCAGGAATTGGTCTTGTTTACGTTTCCCCCAAAAGCCGTGGGGAAGGCGCCGACAGACATTCTGGGGATCCTATTAATGCCGCTGTCATGCTGCTCGTTGTGTGTCGACGTGTGACGGAAACCCCTTGGTCAAATTGTGTCTGTCTCTTTCTCTCTCTCTCTCTCTCTCTTTTGTTTCTTTCCCTTTATATTTCCCCTTTTCCCAGTAGACAGTGTTCTGATGAAAGACCCGCCGGACTTTCTCAACAGGCAAAAATGCCTCGATGCTTTGGCGTCTCTGCGACACGCCAAATGGTTCCAGGTTGGGCTTTTCATTCTTCTTCCCGTATCGAGTTTCAGTTTTATTTTTATTTTCAAGGTCAGTCTGGAAATCCCTTTCCCCGTTTCCCCTGGACTCGAGGGCCTGCATTATTCCAATTTTGAGGGGTCGAAAAGCAAATCTGGGAGTCTGGAGGGAAAGCAACGTCACAAGTCGTACATTCTTTTCGTTCTCTTTTCCTATAGAGATAAAAAAGAAATATCCGCTCTTTTTTTTTTGGTTTTGCCTTTGGACAAAAGGGCAAAAATACGATTCTTAAAGAAATTGATATCTAGTGCATACATTGGCTGTATGGATACAAGATTTGTACCGTATTTCTTGATTTATTTTTTAAAAGCAACCATTTTTCTTATTATTATTTTGTTTAGCTATATAGCACTTTTTCTCTCCATACGGAGACTCAAAGCGGCTCACAATTAAAAACATTGCAACTTAATATATATGAATATACAATCTTAAAATAGTATTATTATTAGGTTCTTGTGGGTTTTTTCGGGCTATAGGGCCATGTTCTAGAGGCATTTTCTCCTGACGTTTCGCCTGCATCTATGGCAAGCATCCTCAGAGGTAGTGAGGGCCATCAAATGCTAATTAAGGTGGTCAGTTGAAACATTCACACCTAGCTCCAGCAGACAAGAGTCCTTTGTCCCACCCTGGTCATCATTCCACAGATATACAAACCCTTTTTCCTAGTTCCAACAGACCTCACTACCTCTGAGGATGCTTGTCATAGATGCAGGCGAAACGTCAGGAGAAAATGCCTCTAGAACATGGCCCTATAGCCCGAAAAAACCCACAAGAACCTAGTGATTCCAGCCATGAAAGCCTTCAACAATAGTATTATTATATTTTATTATTATTAGTAGTATTATGTTTAATATATTGCCACTTTTATATATTATTATATTGTATTGATAGTAGTATTATATTACAATATTATTATTAATATTATATGTACGGTATGTATAACATATTGTTAGCATAGCATAATATTAGCATTATATATTATTATATTGTATCATGCTATTATACACCAGAAGCAACTTGCGGTTTCTCAAGTTGCTCCTGACACAACAAAAAAAATTGCTATTATACTGCAATATTATTAGTAGTATTATATACAGTATATGTTAATATTATTATATTGTATTATAATATTATATATATATACAGTATATATTGCTATATTATCAAGTATAATATATATTACAATATTATTATATATTATATTGCATTATTATTAGTACTATATTGTATTACAATATTATCAATATTATATGTATATATAATATGTTATATTGTTAGCATAGCATAATATTAGCATTATGTATTATTATATTGCATTATGCTATTATGCTGCAATAGTATTGGTAGCATTTTATATAATGTATAAGATATTATTATTAATATTATTGTGATATTGTATAATATAATGTCTGGTATAATATATATTACAATATGATTATATATTATATTGCATTATTAGTAGTATTGTATTATCAATATTATTATTATGTATTATTATGTATTATGTATTATCAATATTATTATATTATCAATATTATTATCAATATAATATTATCAATATTATATGTATATATATAATATATTGTTAGCATAGCATGATATTAATATTATATATTATTATATTGTATCATGCTATTATACTGCACTATTATTAGTAGTATTATATATAATATATTATTATATTGTATAATAATATAATATATATGTAATATATATTATTATAATAATATATATGCAATACCTATTACTATACTGTCCGGTATAATATATAATACAATAGTATTATTATATTGTATTATTATTAGTATTATATTGTATTATAATATTATTATCAGTATTATATGTATATATAATGTATTATAGTATTAGCATAGCACAAGATTAGTTATATATTACTCTATTGTACTATACCATTATACTGCAATATTATTTGTAATATTACGTGTAATCTATAATATACAATTATTATATTATATTATATTATATTACAATATATTATATTATTATAACCAAGTCCCCTTGCTTTAAATGGATGAGCTTGGCAAAGGTCTGAACATGTTAAAAACGCATTGACGGTGTTTGTTGTTGTTCCCGGATGTTGCTCGGGCCAGTCCTTTAGTCCGACGGGTTGGAAACGGTTCTGTTTGTTTTAGGCCAGGGCCAACGGGCTCAAGTCCTGCGTCATCGTTCTGCGCGTGCTGCGGGATTTGTGCAACAGAGTTCCCACCTGGGCGCCCCTGAAAGGATGGGTGAGTACCTGCGCCGCATCGGAAACACCCCGGCACCCGAGGAAGCAGCTAGGACATCAATCCCTGGGCAAAAAAGGGATGGAGTTGCACAGAGGGGGAGCCTCTTTGGGGACATCACAGTGGGGTGCATTTTGGGGTCAAAAAACATAACCCCTTTTGCATTTTGTTTTGGTCGACTTTGTTGAACAGGGAGGGCTTCTGAACATGACAAAAGTGCTATCTGCATTTCCTGGCGGGGTATTTTTAGGCAATCTGTAGCAAAAGAGCAAATGCCTCAGCACAGGCCTGGGCAAACTTAGGCCCTCCATCCAGGTGTTTTGGACTTCAGCTCCCACAATTCCTAACAGCCTGTCAGGATTAAAGAAAACTATTCCAAAATTGGGTTGTTGTTGTAGGTTTTTTCGGGCTATATGGCCATGTTCTAGAGGCATTCTCTCCTGACGTTTCGCCTGCATCTATGGCAAGCATCCTCACTACCTCTGAGGATGCTTGCCATAGATGCAGGCGAAACGTCAGGAGAGAATGCCTCTAGACCATGGCCATATAACTCACTACCTCTGAGGATGCTTGCCATAGATGCAGGCGAAACGTCAGGAGAGAATGCCTCTAGACCATGGCCATATAACTCACTACCTCTGAGGATGCTTGCCATAGATGCAGGCGAAACGTCAGGAGAGAATGCCTTTAGACCATGGCCATATAACTCACTACCTCTGAGGATGCTTGCCATAGATGCAGGCGAAACGTCAGGAGAGAATGCCTCTAGACCATGGCCATATAACTCACTACCTCTGAGGATGCTTGCCATAGATGCAGGCGAAACGTCAGGAGAGAATGCCTCTAGACCATGGCCATATAACTCACTACCTCTGAGGATGCTTGCCATAGATGCAGGCGAAACGTCAGGAGAGAATGCCTCTAGACCATGGCCATATAACTCACTACCTCTGAGGATGCTTGCCATAGATGCAGGCGAAACGTCAGGAGAGAATGCCTCTAGACCATGGCCATATAACTCACTACCTCTGAGGATGCTTGCCATAGATGCAGGCGAAACGTCAGGAGAGAATGCCTCTAGACCATGGCCATATAACTCACTACCTCTGAGGATGCTTGCCATAGATGCAGGCGAAACGTCAGGAGAGAATGCCTCTAGACCATGGCCATATAACTCACTACCTCTGAGGATGCTTGCCATAGATGCAGGCGAAACGTCAGGAGAGAATGCCTCTAGACCATGGTCATACAGCCCGAAAAAACCTACAACAACCCAGTGATTCTGCATGAAAATGAACAAAATCTGGCTACCAGTGTTTAAAAAACTCTAAAATTACAACAGCACAACAACAGAGAGGAAACAAACAAGGACATCTAATCACCTCTCAACAAAAGATTGCTCCAGGCACTGCCAGGCCATCAAATGCTAATCAAGGTGGTCAGTTGAAACATTCCCACCTAGCTCCAGCAGACAAGAGTCCTTTGTCCCACCCTGGTCATTCCACAGATATATAAACCCATTTTCCTAGTTCCAACAGACCTCACTACCTCTGAGGATGCTTGCCATAGATGCAGGCGAAACGTCAGGAGAGAATGCCTCTAGAACATGGCCAAATAGCCTGAAAAAACCTACAACAATCCAGAGAGAAAAGAGACTTACAACAGCAAAACAACAGAGAGGAAACAATCAGGGACATCTAATCACCTCTCAACAAAAGATTGCCCCAGGCACTGCCAGGCCATCAAATGCTAATCAAGGTGGTCAGTTGAGACATTCCCACCTAGCTCCAGCAGACAAGAGTCCTTTGTCCCACCCTGGTCATTCCACAGATATATAAACCCTTTTCCTAGTTCCAACAGACCTCACTACCTCTGAGGATGCTTGCCATAGATGCAGGCGAAACGTCAGGAGAGAATGCCTCTAGACCATGATCATATAGCCCGGAAAAACCTACAACAACCCAGTGATTCCGGCCATGAAAGTCTTCGACAATACATGATTCCAAGATTGTGTGAAGGTGGTACTAAATAAATAATCCGGTGTATTTATTTATTTATCATGTCAGAAGCAAATTGAGGGTGCAGTTATAAATGTATTTAAAAGAACACAAAGTTTGCAAACTTGGCCTTCTATTAAATGTCCTTTGGCCACTTGGAGCGCCTCTGGTGTGGCTGTGAGAAGGTCCTCCGTTGTGCATGTGGCAGGGCTCAGGTTGCATTGTAATCGGTGGTCTGTGGTTTGCTCTTCTCCACACTCGCATGTTGCGGACTCTGCTTTGTGGCCCCATTTCTTGAGGTTGGCTCTGCATCTCGTGGTGCCAGTCTTTTTAGCGCCTTCCAAGTTGTCCAATCTTCTGTGTGCCCAGAAGGGAGTCTCTAATTCGGTTTCAGCCATGGTTTTAGCCTGCCACTTTTGGACTCTGGCTTGCTGAGGTGTTCTTGCACGGTTCTTAGGAAGCTGTTTCTTGATTGAAGGCATTGTCGTGCTGGATGATATGTGAACAGCGGATGGGCCGGAGATGTCACTGCCTTGGTCCTTTCATTGCTGGCTGCTACTTCCCGATGGATGTCATGGTGGTGCAATGCTGGCTAATTTCTCCAGTGGTGTTGGGTGTAGACATCCTGTGATAAAGCAACAAGTCTCATTCAGAGCCACATCCACTGTTTTAGCGTGGATTCCACACTGGGCATGCATACTCAGTAGCAGAGTAGCATAGCACAAGGGCAGATGTCTTCACTGTGTCTGGTTGTGATCCCCAGGTTGTGCCAGTCAGCTTTCGTATGATATTGTTTCTAGTGCCCACTTTTTGCTTGATGTTCAGGCAATGCTTCTTGTAGGTCAGAGCACGGTCCAGAGTGACTCCCAGGTATTTGGGTGCGCTGCAATGCTCCAGTGGGATTCCTTCCCAGGTAATCCTCAGAACTCTGGATACTTGTCTGTTCTTAAGGTGAAAGGCACATGTCTGTGTTTTAGATGGATTAGGGATCAGCTGGTTTTCCCTGTAATAGGCAGTAAGAGCACCTCAAGCTTCAGAGAGCTTCTGTTCAACCATTTCAAAGCTCCCTGCTTGGGCAGTGATGGCATGATCGTCAGCATAGAGGAAACTCTGTCCTCTTTCTGGCAGTGGCTGGTCATTTGTGTCAATGTTAAATATTGATAGTGCTACCTGGTTTTCTCTGTAATAGGCAGTAAGAGCACTTAAAGCTCCGGAGAGCTTCAGTTCAGCCATTTCAAAGCTCCCTTCTTGAGCAGTGATGGCACGATCATCAGCATAGATGAAACTCTCTGTCCCTTCTGGCAGTGTCAGGTCATTTGTGTAAATGTTAAACACTGATGGGGCAACCTGATTTTCCTTTTAGTAGGTAGTAAGAACACCTCAAGCTTCAGAGAGCTTCTGTTCAGCCATTTCTAAGCTCCCTGCTTGGGTGGTGATGGCATGATCGTCAGTGTAGATTAAACTCTCTGTCCCTTCTGGCAGTGGCTGCTCAGTTGTGTAAATGTTAAACATTGATGGATGCAGAATGGGAAAACAAAGCTCTGAAGCTAAATAAAGCTGAATAACATAGAAATTGACAAGGAAAAAAGTTGAGTTTAAGATAGGCATTAAGAGCACTGGTAGGCTGTTGGGAATTGTGGGAGTTGGAGTCCAAAACAGCTGGAGGGAGGGCCTGCTTGAGAAAGAAATGCCTCTTCCTGTCCTCCACCCCAGAGGTTGTGAGCATGTCCTGCCCTTCCTTTTGGTCCTGATGTGGCTCTCCTCCTCCTCCTCCTCCTCTTCTTGCTCTCTTGCAGCCCTTGGAGCTGATCTGTGAGAAAGCCATTGGGACTTGCAATAGACCTTTGGGGGCAGGAGAAGCCCTGCGGAGAGTGATGGAGTGCCTGGCCTCGGGGATCCTCCTACCTGGTAAGGCCCTGCCCACAGCTGGCCCGGTGGCCACAGATCATCCCCATGTTGGTGTCACCGTTGCTTCTTCTTCTTCTGTTGTGGTGGTGTGCCTTCATAGTCCTCGATAATGACCCAAGGCCGGTCGATCCCAGGGTTTCCTTGGCAAGGTTTGCTCCGAGGGAAGTTTGCCTTTGCCTCCTTCTGAGGCTGAGAGAATAGGACCCATCCAAGGTCTGTGGCCGAGCGTTGTGGTGGCCTCTTGAGTGGCATAGTCCAGCACAAAGGCAGTGGGTCCAAACAGTGGGTTGCTGTAAGGTTTTGGGGCTGTTGTTCCAGTAGGGAGGAAAAAAGAAAGAAAGGGAGGAAAGAAGGAAGGAAAGAAGGAAGGAAAGAAGAGAGGGAGAAGAAGGGAAAAAAGAAAGAAAAGAAGAAAGGGAGGGAGGGAGGAAAGAAGGAAGGAAAGAAGGAAGGAAAGAAGAGAGGGAGAAGAAGGGAAAAAAGAAAGAAAAGAAGAAAGGGAGGGAGGGAGGGAGGAAAGAAGGAAGGAAAGAAGAGAGGGAGAAGAAAGGAAAAAAGAAAGAAAAGAAGAAAGGGAGGGAGGGAGGAAAGAAGGAAGGAAAGAAGAGAGGGAGAAGAAAGGAAAAAAGAAAGAAAAGAAGAAAGGGAGGGAGGGAGGGAGGAAAGAAGGAAGAAAGAAAAGGAAGAGAGGGAGGGAGGAAAAAAAGGAAGGAGGAAGGAAGAAAAGAAGAAAAAAAGGAAGGAAGGAAAGGAGGGAGGAGGAAAGAAGAAGAAAGGAAGGGAGGAGGGAGGAAAGAGGGAAGGAGGAAGGAAGGAAGGAAGGAAGGAAGAAAAGGAAGGAAGGAAGGAAAGGAGGGAGGAAAGGGAAGGAGGGAGGAAAGAAAGAAGGAAGGAAGGAAAGAAAGAAGAAAGAAAAGGAAGGAAGGAAAGGAGGGAGGGAGGAAAGAAGAAAGAGGAAGAGAGGGAGGGAGGAAAGAGGGATGGAAGGAAGGAAGGAAGGAAAGAAGGAAAGGAAGGAAGGAAGGAAGGAAGGAAGGGAGGGAGGGAGGAAAGGAGGAAGGAAGGAAAGAAAGAAGGAAGGAAGAAAAGGAAGGAAGGAAAGGAGGGAGGGAGGAAAGAAGAAAGAGGAAGAGAGGGAGGGAGGAAAGAGGGATGAAAGGAAAGAAGGAAGGAAAGAAAGAAGAAGAAAGGAAGGAAGGAAGGAGGAGGAGGAAAGAAGAAAGAGGAAGAGAGGGAGGGAGAGAAAGAGGGATGGAAGGAAGGAAGGAAGGAAGGAAGGAAGGAAGGAAAGGAGGGAGGAAGGAAGGAAGGAAGGAAGGAAGGAAGGAAGAAAAGGAAGGAAGGAAAGGAGGGAGGGAGGAAAGAAGAAAGAGGAAGAGAGGAGGGAGGAAAGAGGGATGAAAGGAAAGAAGGAAGGAAAGAAAGAAGAAAGAAAAGGAAGGAAGGAAAGGAGGGAGGGAGGAAAGAAGAAAGAGGAAGAGAGGGAGGGAGGAAAGAGGGATGGAAGGAAGGAAGGAAGGAAGGAAGGAAGGAAGGAAGGAAGGAAGGAAGGAAAGGAGGGAGGAAAGGAGGGAGGAAAGGAGGAAGGGAGGGAGGAAAGAAAGAAGGAAGGAAGGAAAGAAAGAAGAAGGAAAGGAGGGAGGAGGAAAGAAGAAAAGGAAGAGAGGGAGGAGAAAGAGGGATGAAAGGAAAGAAGGAAGGAAAGAAAGAGAAAAGAAAAGGAAGGAAGGAAAGGGGGAGGAAGAAGGAAGGAAGGAAGGAAGGAAGGAAGGAAGGAAGGAAGGAAGAAGGAAAGAAAGAAGAAAGAAAGAAGGGAGGGAGGGAGGGAGGGAGGAAGGAAGGAGGGAGACAGGACCAAGGCCTCAGTGTTGACCTGCCTTCCCTCCCCCCCCCCCTCTGCCGTCAGGTGGGCCGGGCCTGCATGACCCCTGCGAACGGGAGCCGACGGATGCCTTGTCCAATTTGACTGTTCAACAAAGAGAAGCCATTACCCACAGTGCCCAGGTAAAACCTTCCCGCTGCCTGCACCGAGCTTTGGAGGATCTCTGTCCAGCTCTGCGGGGGGGGGGGGGGGGGGGAGGTCCCATTGTTGTCCCTTTGTTTTAGTCCAGAAACCAAGCCCTTGAGTTGGCCTTGCGATTTCTCTTTTTGCATAGCTCAGGAACATCACTTTATGTCAGACATGGATGTACTTCGGCCCTCCCAGGGGGCTGTGTGGTGGGGTGGGAGTGCGGAGGGATGGGTGCCATTACGCCAACGGTCAGTGTTTGCATTAGTAAGGGATGCATGGGACCTGGAGGGTTGCTGTGCCTCCGTCTTTGGGGAATGGTAAGGAGGGAGCTCTTTGGGAGCCTGGGGTGGAGGAAGCCGTGGCTGTGACTCAGTCTCTCTGCCTTTCTTGTTCTCCTCTCGCAGCACGCGTTGAGACTGTCCGCTTTCGGTCAGATCTACAAAGTGCTGGAAATGGATCCTCTCCCTTCCAATAAGTCCTTCCAGAAATACCCCTGGTCGGGGACCGACAAAGAAGGTACGTGGCAGGAAGCGGGGCAAGAAAACCAGAACAACCACTGACAGGCGGTGATTTTGTCTGTGCTGATTGTTTTTAAGTGCAGGCCAAGGTCTTGAGGCACTGCGCCCAGTGTGCCAATCACCACCGGGACCCCTTCACTTGCTTCTGCCTGAGTCTTTGCAGTTCAATCTTTAAATCCTCCCATTATGATTAGTATTATTATTTGAGTCTACACTGACTATTATTATTATTATTATTATTATTATTATTATTATTATTATTATTATAGCAGTGTAGATGGAGCCTAAAAGACTCCCTTCCAGTTTCCCAGGTCCTTAACGTTTCTGAATCCAGAGGGTATGAAAACATATTATTATTATTGTTATTGTTATTGTTATTACTACTACTATATAATATTATTTTATTTTATGACACAAACGCCCAGTATGTCACAGCAAACAAGATCTCTACGCTGGATTTCATATCACAAAATCCCAAGTCGAACCCTTCCCAAGCGTTTAGGACTGTGTGATGTATTTCCAAATGATGCGCGCAGATCCAAGTCAGGTGGCCTTTTGCAGTTGACATCCTGATGTAGTCCATGTGTATTGTTTCCAAATGCCGGGTGAGATCTTTTGGCACGGCACCCAGTGTGCCCCGTATTCCCACTGGGACCACCTGGACTGGTTGATGCCATCAGAGCCTTTGCCGTTCGATTTTGAGGTCTTGATAGCGGCTGAGTTTCTCCTGTTGTTTTTCCTCAATGCGACTGTCACCTGGAATGGCGACATCCATCATCCAGACTTTTTCCTTTTCCACAATTGTGATGCCTGGCGTGTTGTGTTCCAAAACTTTGTCAGTCTGGATTTGAAAGTTCCACAGTATTTTTGCGTGTTCATTTTCCACGACCTTTGCAGGTTTATGATCCCTTTACCAATTCTTTGCTGCTGGCAGGTGGTCCTTGTGACATAAGTTCCAGTGAATCATCTGGGCCACAGAGTTGTGCCTCTGTTTGTAGTCCGTCTGTGCGATTTTCTTGCAACAGCTGAGGAGATGGTCCATGGTTTCATCTGCTTCCTTGCACAATCTGCATTTTGGGTCATCCGTTGATTTTTCAATCCTGGCCTGAATGGCATTTGTCCTGATGGCTTGCTCCTGGGCTGCAAGAACCAGGCCTTCCATCTCCTTCTTCAGGGTTCCATTTGTGAGCCATCACCAGGTCTTCTCCTTGTCCACTTTTCCTTCAATTTTCTCAAGGAACTGCCCATGCAAGGCTTTGTTGTGCCAGCTGTCAGCTCTGGTTTGGAGTGCAGTTTTCTTGTACTGACTCTTTGTCTGCTGTGCTTTGAGAACTTTCCAATTATTGACTTCAATTAAAGCAGGTTCTTGGCTTTCCTGACATATTCTGCCAGGGCATCATGTTTTTCTTCTACAACTGCTTGTTTGACTTGTCAAAGTCCTCTGCCCCCAGATTTTCTCGGCAGATAGGGCCGGTCAACAACACTGCGATTATGAATAATCATGAGTTTTCTTGTTTTTCTGTCCAAATTGTCCAGTTCTGCCTGTGTCCAGTTTATGATGCTAGCAGTGTATCTTACTACAGGTCTGTCCCAGGTGTTGATGGCCTTGATGGTGTTGCCTCCATTGAGCTTGCTTTTGAGAATTTTTCTGACCCTTTGAATGTATTCTTTGCTGACCACAATGTTCACATGTTCATGTTTGATACTGTCCAGCTGTAGCAATCCCAGATATTTATAGGCCTCTGGCTGGTGACACTTGATTATTATTATTATTATTATTATTATTATTATTATTATTATTTTGTCATGTCAGGACTGACTTGAGAAACTGCAAGTCGCTTCTGGTGTGAGAGAATTGGCCGTCTGCAAGGACGTTGCCCAGGGGACGTTGCCAGGATGTTTTGATGTTTTACCATCCTTGTGGGAGGCTTCTCTCATGTCCCCGCATGAGGAGCTGGAGCTGACAGAGGGAGCTCATCTGCCCTCTCCCCGGATTCGAACCCACAACCTGTTGGTCTTCAGTCCTGCCAGCACAGGGGTTGAACCCACTGCACCACTGCAGGCTCCATATTGTTATTATTACAAAGTACATATTTTTAATTGTTCGAATATAGTTAGTGGTTTAATTTTATTTTAACGTTGCATTTTTTGGCACGTTTTAAAATCCTTTCAATGCGTAGCCACCCTTCAGTCCCAAATTTTGGTGGAAAATGTGGGGTTTACATGAGCTTAGCAATGGAAACAAGGATGGCTTTGTGGCAGCAGTATTCCTGTCGATAACCATATCCCGGAGTGGCTCTCGAGACCGCAAGCAGCCTCCAGGGATGCGCAAACGCACAAGAGACGGAGGCAACCTGTTCCTGTGCTTTCGTTGCCCACTGCCACCCTCTCCTCTGGCGCAGATCTGTCCAAAATACCCCCCCAAACCCTTGCAGACATGACTACATGCTTGTGACTGTGCTGGCTAGCAATGAAGACATCTCCCGTCTTCCAACCCCTTGTTCTGTCAAGGCTGTAATGGCTTCCTGACACTTTGGAAATAGTGCCGACGGGGCCAGTCATTTATTTTTAAAAGGAGAACATCGATCGATCGTGTGACGCTCTCGATTAGAGGGGAACGTAGTGTGGCTGTGAAGGCCAATGATGGATGGGAAGAGAGAGACCCTCATTCTCCCCTCTTCCCACTCCAGGGATGGCTTAGGAAGAGTTCTTAGCTCGAGGAGAGCCAGCACGATGCACTTCCTCCCATGTTCCTTGACCCATGTTTGGACAGGGCTGCTTTTGGGGGTCTCCCCATGTATACACATGCTCCGTTCAACAAAGGACGAGAGGGATCCTCTCCACCTCTGCAGGAGTCTACCGTATATCTTCCTTAGGCAATCCCTCGTTGTCCGAGTAGGACAATCCTCCAGGGTGGGTCCGTAGGTAGGACTGTGGAGCCCCATTCTTGACCTGCATCTTCTCCCTTCCGCAGTGAGGGCATCGGTTTCTAGGTGGAAGGCAGTCCCGGTCGGGGTTGGCTTGACGCACCTTTCTCTTGGCACATTTCTCCCTTTCGCCCTCCATTTGTGCCTCTTCCAATTCTGCAGCACTGCTGGTCACAGCTGACCTCCAGCTGGAGTGCTCAAGGGCCAGGGCTTCCCAGTTCTCAGTGTCTATGCCAGAGTTTTTAAGGTTGGCTTTGAGCCCATCTTTTAATCTTTTTTCTTGCCCACCAACATTCTGTTTTCCATTCTTGAGTTCGGAGTAGAGCAACTGCTTTGGGAGACGGTGGTCGAGCATCCAGACAATGTGGCCAGTCCAGCGGAGTTGGTGGCAGAGGAGCATCGCTTCAATGCTGGTGGTCTTTGCTTCTTCCAGCACGCTGATATGTGTCCGCTTGTCTTCCCAAGAGATTTGCAGAATTTTTCAGAGGCAGCGCTGATGGAATCGTTCCAGGAATTGCATGTGACGTCTGTAGACAGTCCACGTTTCGCAGGCATAGAGCAGGGTTGGGAGGACAATAGCTTTATAGACAAGCCCCTTGGTCTCCCTACGGATGTCCCGGTCCTCAAACACTCTCTGCTTCATTCGGGAAAATGCTGCACTCGCAGAGCTCAGGCGGTGTTGTATTTCGGTGTCGATGTTGACTTTGGTGGAGAGGTGGCTGCCAAGGTAGCGGAAATGATCAACATTTTCTAATGTTACACCATTAAGTTGTATCGCTGGCATTGGAGAGGGGTTGATAATAATAATACTTTATTTGTTCCCCGCTACCATCTCCCCAAGGGACTCAGTGCGGCTTACATGAGGCCGAGCCCACAATACATCAGCAAAAAACAACAACAGTAATACAAAACAATAAAATAAAACTCATAAACAGAAAATAAGCAGTAAATATCAACAATAACACAACAATGTTTAAAAAACCTATGTCCTGGTCCTCAAACACTCTCTGCTTCATTCAAAGAATGCTGCACTTGCAGAGCTCAGGCGGTGTTGTATTTCAGTGTCGATGTTGACTTTGGTGGAGGGGGGGGGGGCTGCCAAGGGAGCGGAAATAGCTTTATAAACAAGCACCTTGGTATCCCTATGGATGTCCCGGTCCTCAAACACTCTCTGCTTCATTCGGAAGAATGCTGCACTCGCAGAGCTCAGGCAGTATTGTATTTTAGTGTAAAATGTTGACGTTCTGCAGGGATATAGCAGGGTTGGGAGGACAATAGCTTTATAAACAAGCACCTTGGTATCCCTACGGACGTCCCGGTCCTCAAACACTCTCTGCTTCATTCGGAAGAATGCTGCACTCGCAGAGCTCAGGCGGTGTTGCATTTCAGTGTCAGTGTTGACTTTAGTGGACAATATGGATCGTGCCGCACAACCAGGCGAAACATCAGGAGAGAATGCTTCTGGAGCGTGGCCAGGCAGCCTGGAAAACACACAGCAACCTGTATTTTACCTTGAGTCACTTTCGGGTTAGAGAAAGGTGGGATACGAAGCTTACGGATGTCTCTCAAAAGGCCTCTCTATCGCTTTTGTTTGTTTATTCATGGTGTAGGTGCTGGTTCCTCTGCTTTGAAGAGGCCTTTTGAAGACGGGTTGGGGGACGAGAAAGACCCCAACAAGAAGATGAAGCGGAACTTGAGGAAAAGTACGTCTCCCTCCCCCTCCAATCCTTCCTACTTTTGCCATCCCGTCCCCTTGCATTTCCAAGTTGTCTAGGAGGACAGCAGGTGGATTGCAAAACTGTTCACAGAGAGTAACTCAAAACCTTGGGCTTGGAAACTTGCTGCACAGGCTGGAATAATAGAATTATAGAGTTGGGAGAGATTGTGTGGCCACCTAGTCCAGCCCCCTGCCATGCAAGAAAAGCACAATCAAAGCACTCCTGACAGATGGCCATCCAGACTCTGCTTAAAAGTTTCCAAGGTAGGAGCTTCCGCCAGGTTCTGAGGCAGAGAATTTATTTATTTACCGGGTCGGAGGTTTAGCAACAGCTGGTAAATCATCAGCAATTATAAGATCTATCAACCAAAAGGTTGCAAGTTCAAAGCCCTGGGTTGATATGAACTGCCAGCTGTCAGCCTAGCTCATTGTTTACCTATGTGATAAGAGAAATTAGGTACCGCTAAAAGCGGGGGAGGTATTTTTTGATGCCACAAAGAAAAGATCAGAAAATGCTGGGTGAACAAAAGGAAGGAGGAAGTCCTGACAGCTCTTCGTCATAGAGAACTGAGCCCAACCTTTCATGGCACCAAAAACAGCTGAAACAAACCCCCTCCTTCTGTTCTGTCTGTCTGTGTATTGTCTATACAAAGTGACATTGAATGTTTGCCGCATATATGCACATTGTGATCCTCCCTGAGTCCCCTTTGGGGTGAGAAGGGCGGAATATAAATAAAGTGTTGTTGTTGTTGTTGTTGTTGTTATTTTCTGCCCTTCTCACCCCGCAGGGGACTCAGGGCAGATCACAATGTGCATATACATGGCAAACACTCAGTGCTATTAGACATACAACATATATAGACAAACACAGAGGCAATTGGACATTCCAGCTTTCTGGCTTCATGAGGGTGTGTGTGCTTGACTCCGGTCACCGGGGGAGCTGCCACTTCACCATCCACTTGTGACACCAAGTCCTTGATGGAGCACTTCCTCATTCTTATGCATGCTGCTGGAAGGTTTTATGGTGTCATAAATGAGTTAAATTAACCTCCCCACATAAAGCGGTACCTAAATTTCCTTCTTGACAGATGCAAATGTCTTTCAGGCTGCATAGGTCGACAGCAAGCTAGACTATTAATGGACGGGAGCTCACTCCGACTGGGCTGGCTTTGAACTCATGACTGAGTTCTTTGAGGGAGTACTTCCTCAGTTTTCTGCGTGCTGCTGGAAGATTTTATGCTGTTGTAAATGAGTTGAATTAGCCCCTCCCCGCATAAAGCGGTACCTAAATGTCCTACTTGACAGATGCAGCTGTCTTTCGGACCGCATAAGTCGACAGCAAGCTAGACTATTAATGGTCGGGAGCTTACTCCGGCTTCGAACTCATGACCCCGAGTTCTTTGATGGAGTACTTCCTCGTTCTTATGCATGGCGCTGGAAGGTTTCATGGTGTCGTAAATAAGTTAAATTAGCCTCCCCACATAAAGCGGTGCTTAAATTTTTTACTTGACAGATGCAACTATCTTTTGGGCTGCTTTTGTGATGTTTTATACTGTAATTTTTTTTTAAAATCTATATTATGTTTTATGTATACTGATTTGTTGGAAACCGCCTTGAGTCGCCAATTGGCTGAGAAAGGCGGCATACCAAAACAGTAAATAAATAGGTCAACAGCAAGCTAGACTATTAATGGTCGGGAGCTCACTCTGACCTGGGCTGACTTCTTGGTCCGTAGAGATTTAATGCAGCTGGTTACTAACGCTGCGCCACAGCCTGGTCCTCTACCGTTGACCCCCTGTCTCTGTCCTCCCTTTCCCCCCCAGTCCTCGACAGCAAAGCAATAGATCTTATGAATGCCTTGATGCGCCTGAACCAGATCCGGCCCGGCTTGCAGTACAAGCTCCTCTCTCAGTCCGGCCCGGTCCACGCCCCCGTTTTCACCATGTCCGTGGACGTGGACGGCACGACGTACGAGGCTTCGGGCCCTTCCAAAAAGACCGCCAAGCTTCACGTCGCAGTGAAGGTAAGGCCGCCTGGCGGAGCCAGCCCTGAATCAATGACCCTCAGCCGTGGAGTCAACGCAAAAAACGAGGGATCGATAAGGTATATGTGTTCACAGTGTTCTTTGCATGAGGGTGAACTACAACTCCCATTATCATCTTTCATTGCCCCCAAACTTCACCAGTAGGTAAAATTGGCCATGATAAGTACTGTATATGTGCCAAGTTTAGTCTTAATCAAATGTTGATGGTGTTCTTTGCATGTGAGTGAACTGCAACACCCATCATTCTCTGTCCTTGCCCCACAAAACCCCATTCATTCATTCATTCATTCATTCATTCATATACGGAATGAATGGAGAGAGGCTATTTCAATTCTGGGAAGGGCATTAGGGGGCAATGGGGATTGTAGTTTCCTGGGACCCGAAGAGGAGGCCGAGGTCGTCCAGGGCCGGCTCCACGGCTCACCGCATTGCAGTTGTGCAGCAGGGACGCCTTCACCTTTGGAGGAAGAGGGAGGGAGGGAGTTAGGGAGGGACCCTCTTTCCTCCGTGTTTGCAGATTTTCCGTCACCGGAGAGGCCCTGACTGCAGCTCCATCTGTTGTTTTCGTTTCATGTGCTTCGGATGAAGCCTTCCTTTGTGTGTCGGGATGTGAGTGCGCAGGCTTGCTTTCTTTCCCACCCCAGAAAGTTCATCTGGCAACGCTCTTCTCCGTTTGGGAACACAAAAGGAAACTTTCCCTTCTTCTTTTTTTGTTTCAGTCCCTTTGAACATGAAAGTGGCCCAGAGTATTTGAAGGCAGCCTTTCTTCCTTCCTCTCTCTTCTCTCTCTCTCTCTCACACACAAATTGATCATCCTCTCTTCCTTTCCCAAATCAGGATTCTAAGCAGCTTATAAAAGAAAATATACAACAACAACAACAACAAAACACCCCAACCTTCAGATTTATTTATTTTTTGTGTCAGAAGCAAATTGAAGGTCAGTTGTAATGTATTTGAAAACGCAAACATGGGGGAGCCCCCAGTGGTGCAGCAGGTTAAACCGCTGAGCTATTAAACTTGCTGACCAATCGAATCGGGGAGCAGTTTGAATCCAGGGAGCTGCCGCCAACTTAGCAGTTCGAAAACATGCAAACATGAGTAGATATCAATAGGTACCACTGCTACGGGAAGGTAACAGCGCTCCATGCAGTTATGTTGGCCACATTACTTTGGAGGTGTCTATGGACAATGCCGGCTCTTAGGCTTAGAAATGGAGATGAGCACCACCTCCCAGAATTGGACACAAGTAAACTTAATGTCAAGGGGAAACTTTTACATTTACTTTTGATCAGCCATGGATTGAGGTTCCAGGTTTGAGCCTGCCACTTTTGGACTCTTGCTTGCTGAGGTCTTCCTGCAAGTATCTCTGTAGATCTTAGGAAGCTGTTTCTTGATTTAAGGCAATGGCATGTTGGCTGATACCTAAAAAAGGAGATGGGCTGGAGATGTCACCTCCTTGGTCCTTCCATTGCTGACTACTACTTCCCAGCAGATGTCAGGTGGTGCGATACCAGCTAAACAGTATAATTTCTCCAGTGGTGTAGGGCGTAGGCATCCTGTGATAATGTGGCATGTCTCATTAAGAGTCCCATCCACTGTTTTAATGTGGTGAGGTGTGTTCCACACTGGGCATGTGTATTCAGCAGCAGAATAGCCAAGCGCAAGGGCAGGTGCCTTCACTGTGTCTGGTTGTGATCCCCAAGTTGTGCCAGTCAGCTTTCGTACAATATTATTCCTCGCACCTACTTTTTGCTTGATAGTCAAGCAGGGCTTCTTGTAAGTCTGGGCACAATCCAGAGTGACTCCCAGGTATTTGGGTGTGCTGCAATGCTCGAGTGGGATTCCTTCCCAGGAAATCCTCAGAGCTCGAAATGCTTGTCTGCTCTTAAGGTGAAAAGGACATGCCTGTGTTTTAGGTGGATTAGGGATCAGCTGGTTTCCCCTGTAATAGGCAGTAAGATCATCTAAAGCTTTGGAGAGCTTCTGTTCAACCATCTCAAAGCTCCCTGCTTGGGCGGTGATGGCATGATCATCGGCATAGATGAAACTCTCTGTCCCTTCTGGCAGCGGCTGGTCAATTGTGTCAGTGTTAAACATGAATGGAGCATGCATATTCCCTAGGAGCAGGCCATTCATATATCTTCACCGTCTGCTTCTCTGAGCCTGGAACTCAACAGTTTTATTATGTTCTGCTTTTTATATTTTGTCATGATATTACCTGCTTTATTATGCATATGTTTGTGTTATTTTGCATATGTTATTCATTGTATTTACTTATGTTGTATTTCCTTGAGTCCTTCAAGGAGATGGGGCAGGGGAGACATTAATAATAATAATAATAATTATAATAATTATAATAATAATAATAATATTATTATTATTATTTGAAACACAACAAGATGAGTCCACAGCAGACACTCTGCTGGCTGTTGTATTGGATAACACGTCGGACCCTTCCCAAGTGTCTAGGACTGTGTGGTGTATCAGCAAATAATGCGTGCAGATCCCAGTAAGGTGGCCTTCTGCAACTGGCAGATGGTAATTTTGTCAGCGCCGATTGTCTTTAAGTGCAGGCCAAGGTCTTGAGGCACTGCACCCAGTGTGCCGATCACCACTGGGACCCCCTTGACTGGCTTGTGCCAGAGTCTTTGCACTATTATTATTGAGGGAAATTGCATTGGGAGGCGGCGTTCTCAAACAGGGTGATATTTCCAATCAGAGCAAGTGCAAATGTTCATGTTACCTGGGGGCATATCCTTGTTTAGAGTGTTTACAAAAAGGATGCTGTCCGTCGATGGCAATGCAGGGATGCCTCTTGTGTGTGTTGCAAGCAGGTTTTGCAAGCGATGGGCTACCCCACTGGTTTCGACGCCGACATGGAATGTACAAGCTCTGATGAGAAGTCAGACACCGAAGGGAAGAACGAGACCGTCTCTTCAAACTCAAGCAATAATACTGGAAACTCTACAATCGATACCTCTGCTACCTTGGAGGTAGTGTGGGGCCTCCTGCCACCTGCCTTCTCTTATCTATTATTTACTGTATTTATATATGCCTTTCTCACCTCTGGGGGGACTCAAAGCCGTGCCTTCATATCTTTTTACAGCTAATGACCTCAGATATATAGATTCAGAGAATTGCAGTGGATAGACTCCACCAGCTCTAGTTTCTTAGATAAGGTTTTCCATGGGTGGGCAGATGGTGACTTGCAGATGACCTATGTACTGTATCTCAAAAACAAGTTGGCCCAGGCCTTTGTCCTCTTGGAACTGTATGCTTCAGTCAGTCAAGGGATCATCTGCATATCCATACACCTGGAGAGAGTGCCCAAGTTGGCCCATGCCTTTGTCCTCTTGGAACTGGATGCTTCAGTCCATCAGGGGGTCATCTGCATACCCACGTTGTGGGACCTGGAGTCCAAAACACCTGGAGGGAGGGCCCAAGTTGGCCCAGGCCTTGGTCCTCTTGGAACTGGACATGTCAGACAATCAAGGGATCATCTGCATATCCATACACCTGGAGGGAGGGCCCAAGTTGGCCCAGGCCTTTATCCTCTTGGAACTGGACACTTCAGTCAATATAGGGGTCTTCTGCATACCCACATTGTGGGAGTTGGAGTCCAAAACACCTGGAGGGAGGTTTCCAAGTTGGTCCTCTTGGGACAGGGAACTTCAGTCCATCAAGGGGTCATTAACATACCCACGTTGTGGGAGCTGGAGTCCAAAACACTTGGAGGGAGGGCCCAAGTTGGCCCATGCCTTTGTCCTCTTGGAACTGGACACTTCAGTCCATCAAGGGGTCATCTGCATACCCACGTTGTGGGAGTCCAAAACGCCTGGAAGGAGGGCCCAAGTTGTCCCATGCCTTAGTCCTCTTGGAACTGGACACTTCAGTCCATCAAGGGGTCATCTGCATACCCACGTTGTGGGAGTTGGAGTCCAAAACCCCTGGAGGGAGGGCCCAAGTGGGCCCATGCCTTTCTCCTCTTGGAACTGGACACGTCAGTCCATCAGGGGGTCATCTGCATACCCACGTTGTGGGTGTTGGAGTCCAAAACACCTTGGGGGAGGGCCCAAGTTGGCCCATGCTTTGCCCTCTTGGAACTGGACACGTCAGTCCATCAAGGGATCCTCTGCATACCCACGTTGTGGGTGTAGGAGTCCACAACACCTTGGGGGAGGGCCCAAGTTGACCCATGCCTGGTCCAACCCCATTCTGTCATGCAGGAAAAGCACACTCAGAGCAACCCTGAGAGATGGCAATCCAGCCTCTGTTTCAAAGCCTCCATGGAAGGTGCTTCCACCTGACTCCGAGGCAGGGAGTTCCACTGCTGAACAATTCTTTGTACAGTCAGGAAGTTCTTCCTGATACTCAGGTGGGATCTTTCCTGTCATTTGAACCCGTGGCTCCATTGAGTCCTAGTTTCCAGGGCAGCCAAAAGGAAGCTGTCTCTCTCTTCCTTCGGAGAGGCTTTCACATTTTCTTTTAATGTGTTGGTTATATTTATACCCATAATGAATTCGAGGCAGCCTGCATGAGTCTCCTCTCTTCCATCTTTCCATAGCTTGGGCTAGGATTTGCAAGGTGTGGATTGCGTCTTCCTAGTCCAACAATGATTTGATTCCAATTCTCCTCGAAAGACAGAAACCTCGCTCTGTTTCCCTCCTGGCTTCTTTCTCTCTCCGTCCTAATTTTGCAAGCAAAGTCCCTCAAACAAAGGTGCCTGTGTGTAAGGGGAGATGGTTCCGCGGCTGACTTCACCTGGGTGCCTCCGACGTGGTTAAACCCGCACCCATATCAGGAGCTTTGGTGGGTCAGAGGGTTGTGGGACGGGGCAGGGAGTAAGGCGATCCCGTCAGCTCAGCGTCGCAGCAGATGCCCCTCGGCAACTAGAAACGCGGGCTGGTAATAGCTTCTGCAGGCCTGGCCTTTTCCGCACCAGATTCCTGTTTCAGACGGAGGAGAAAGTGTCCCAGGCACATTGGCCCAGAGGTCAGCCTTGGCCAAAGCATGCTTCCTTCAAGCGGAGGGCTTCTGGATACCCTCTTGACCTTATTATTGACCCTCCTTCCTCTAAATGTAGGGATTCAGTATGATTATTATTGCGCCCCTTTGAGTTCTTTCCAGCTTAGGACGACACGAAGGCAAGCTTATTCGGCTGGACTGAACTAAGCTAAAACTGTAATGCATTGCTAGAATCAACATGCTAGTGTAGGCATGGGCCCACTTGGTGTTTTGGACTCCAACTCCCATCATTCCTCACAGCCTCAGGCCCCTTCCTGTTGTCTCTTTGTGGAGTGTGGCCTCATGGGTCCCCTGGGCTGGGTTTACAGCAGGTATGGGCCCACTTGGGCATTCCCTCCAGGTGTTTTGGACTCCAACTCCCACCATTCCTCACAGCCTCAGGCCCCTTCCTGTTGTCTCTTTGTGGAGTGTGGCCTCATGGGTCCCCTGGGCTGGGTTTACAGCAGGTATGGGCCCACTTGGGCATTCCCTCCAGGTGTTTTGGACTCCAACTCCCACCATTCCTCACAGCCTCAGGCCCCTTCCTGTTGTCTCTTTGTGGAGTGTGGCCTCATGGGTCCCCTGGGCTGGGTTTACAGCAGGTATGGGCCCACTTGGGCATTCCCTCCAGGTGTTTTGGACTCCAACTCCCACCATTCCTCACAGCCTCAGGCCCCTTCCTGTTGTCTCTTTGTGGAGTGTGGCCTCATGGGTCCCCTGGGCTGGGTTTACAGCAGGTATGGGCCCACTTGGGCATTCCCTCCAGGTGTTTTGGACTCCAACTCCCATCATTCCTCACAGCCTCAGGCCCCTTCCTGTGGACTGTTTCTGGAGTGTGGCCTCATGGGTCCCCTGGACTGGGTTGACACCAGGTATGGGCCAACTTTGGCCTTCCCTCTGGGTGCTTTGGACTCCAACTCCCATCATTCCTCACAGCCTCAGGATCCCTTACTATGGACTGTTTGTGGAGTGTGTCCTCTGCCCTCATGGGTCCCCTGGGCTGGGATTACATCAGGTATGGGCCCACTTGGGCCTTCCCTCCAGGTGTTTTGGACTCCAACTCCCATCATTCCTCACAGCCTCAGGCCCCTTCCTGTGGACTGTTTGTGGAGTGTGGCCTCATGGGTCCCCTGGGCTGGGTTTACATCAGGTATGGGCCCACTTGGGCCTTCCCTCCAGGTGTTTTGGACTCCAACTCCCATCATTCCTCACAGCCTCAGGCCCCCTTCTGTTGAATGTTTGTGGAGTGTGGCCTCATGGGTCCCCTGGGCTGGGTTTACAGCAGGTATGGGCCCACTTGGGCATTCCCTCCAGGTGTTTTGGACTCCAACTCCCATCATTCCTCACAGCCTCAGGCCCCTTCCTGTTGTCTCTTTGTGGAGTGTGGCCTCATGGGTCCCCTGGGCTGGGTTTACAGCAGGTATGGGCCCACTTGGGCATTCCCTCCAGGTGTTTTGGACTCCAACTCCCATCATTCCTCACAGCCTCAGGCCCCTTCCTGTTGAATGTTTGTGGAGTGTGGCCTCATGGGTCCCCTGGGCTGGGTTTACAGCAGGTATGGGCCAACTTGGGCCTTCCAGGTGTTTTGGACTCCAACTCCCATCATTCCTCACAGCCTCAGGCCCCTTCCTGTGGACTGTTTGTGGAGTGTGGCCTCATGGGTCCCCTGGGCTGGGTTTACATCAGGTATGGGCCCACTTGGGCCTTCCCTCCAGGTGTTTTGGACTCCAATTCCCACCATTCCTCTCAGCCTCAGGCCCCTTCCTTTCCCCCCTCAGCTGCTTAAGTGGAAAAGGAAAGGGAAAAGGAAGGGGACGGAGGCTGTGAGGAATGGTGGGAGTTGGAGTCCAAAACACCTGGAGGGAGGGACAAAGTTGGCCAGTGCCTGAGCTAGAGGTATTAGTAACTTTAACCAAAATAGTTACTTCGTTAGATTACTTATTGCTCAGTAGGTTTATAAGTGTTGTTTAAAGAAGTATTCCATTTGTTTGTCTTTCAAAATCAACCACGTTCCTGCGAGATTGCAAAAAAGTCTGCAACTTGTTGACTGTTTCCAAGTTTGGGCATATTTCCCATCCAACTCATTGTGAACAGTGCCCAATTTATACTTTTCTGGCAACACGGCAAGATCTGTCTTTGAACAAGGACAATGCCCTGTCTTCTCTAAGCTGCCCACCCTTCCATCGTGGTGCGGGCGAGGGGCTTCATGCTTTGGGGCTCCTGTGGCCGATCTCCGATCCCAGCCGGGCTCACGGGGCTTCTTTCTTGGCTTTCTTTCAGGTCAGAACTCAGGGTCCCATCCTCACGGCCAGCGGCAAGAATCCGGTGATGGAGCTCAACGAGAAGCGGAGGGGCCTCAAGTATGAGCTCATTTCCGAAACGGGAGGAAGCCATGACAAGCGGTTT